CGGCAGGCCCGGCCGTGGGCTTGGCAGGAGCCCCAAGGTGCCGGGCAGGGCTACCCTCCCCGCGGGACACCCGCCCTGGGGCAGGCAGAGTAGAGGACACGCAGCCTGGGCATTCCCCTTGGGACAGTCCCTGGAAACTGCTTCCAGACGTGGTTAAGGCTGTGGGATTGCTCAGGATCGCTGCCAACCACGGACCTGGCCAGAGGCATTAAGAGCCGGAGGCAATGCCCAAAGAGAAATTTCTTCTGCTCCAGTGACTACAGAAGCGACAGTCCTAATTCAGGCAGAGACCTTCTGCGCGACGTGGAGGAGATCGCAGCGCTCCCCAGTCCCATCCGCCTCCCCCCAGCCAGCCCCAGAGCACCCTGCTTCATTTTGCCCCTCAGGTAGACCCTTACCCGCCCTGCGCTTCCCCCAGGAGTTATAACCCCCAGCAGCTGCTCCTCCACGGGCAGCTGGGCTCTGTGTCCTTCCCCGCCGGCTGGGTCTGTGCTGCTGGTTTGTTTTACCCCTTTGCAAAACTGCGAGTGGGCTTCACCTGCCCCGAGCTGGTGGGTCGCCGCGTTCATCACCCCACTAAGGGGGGTTAAGCTCCATAGAGATGGAGACATGGCCTCAAGTTGTGCCAGGGCAGGGTTAGGTTGGATATTGGGAACAATTCCTTCCCCGCAAGGGCTGTCAGGCACTGGAAGGGGTTGAGACCCCATCCCTGGGGGAATTTAAAAGCCGGGCAGGTGTGGTGCTTAGGGACAGGGTTTGGTGGTGGGATGGCAGGGGCAGGGGAACGGTTGGGCTGGGGGAGCTCAAAGGGCTTTTCCAACCTCAACGATGCTATGATTTGGTGCCTGGCTGCCAGGCTGCAGCCACTTCTCCAGCCCCGGCAAGGGGCCGGCAGCGCCCCTCAGCGCACGGTGGGACAAACCCTCGAGCGGGGAGCATCGTTGTCCTCCCGACCTGCACCTGAGATGCCTTTTGAGCTCACGTAGCACAACACCAAGATGACTCTCTCAGATCAAGTGCTCACAGCAAACGAAAGAGCTGCCCATGCCCAGAGACTGGGTCCCGTGCCCCTCCATGCCAGGCACCTCCTTTTCAGTGGAGCCACAGCTCCTTACCTCATCCAGCACGTGGAGGTCGCTGCTGAGCTGCTCTGCAAAGGCCATGGAGTTGTTCACAAGGGGCTCGTACTCCTCCATCAGCTTCAACACATCGGCAGCTTCCTTTGCTGTCATCTCCTGGTACGCACTGAGCTCCTCCTGGCTCTCGGTCTCTGCAGGGTCCTCCCTGTCTTCCTGGGGCCTCTGTCTCCCTGCGTGGACAGGAGGAGACGTGGAGGTGGCCAGAGCCTCCTCGCTATGTCATTTTGTTAGCCCTGCTCGTATTAGCCCCAGGGCTCCCACTGAGTCCAAGTGACAGGAGCCCAGCGGTCTCCGTCCGCTGGTCCATTTGGAATAAGATCCGTGGAGCAAAGAAAGATGGGGATGGGGTAAAGGGGTGGCTTTGTAAGAGGGACAAAACGGGCACCTGAAATTTCGTTTGAGCTCTGGCTGTGGTTTTACATGCTCACCTCTCTAGGGTCCTGTGTCGGGGCACGTTGATGTGTTTGTGGCACAAAACTGAGACAAATTTCAGAGATGAGCAGGCTTCCAATTAAATACACTGGTAGTCAGGTGTTGTAGAGTAAAATAGATTTTTATATCCATATATATCTGTATTTCTTGACATACTGCTGGGGAAGGGTCCCAGGCAGGCAGGCAGCCTCCCCCTTGCCTGACCTTACCGACACTTCACTTCTCGCCTTCCCCAGCACCTCTGGAGACGAGATCAGCCGCCCATCTATTGCGATCCCCAGCCCAGCGCTGTGCACCACGGCACGGGCCAGTGGGTAAATCAGGTGGCAGTGCCTCTGGACACACAAAACACGGATCCTCCTGCTGCCCTCCCACCGGTACCCACCTCAACCTCTCCCATCATCCACCTCCACTGCCTGAAATTTATTCACCTCCCATTCCTAAAGTGACGATAGCGATGATGCAAAAAAAAACCCCAAACCACTCTGAGTGTGACAAGGGAACGAATTACCTTCCGCCGCACAGGAGGGGACGTTCACAAACGTGACAGAGCTGCCGAGGAATCGGTGGTTCAGCTTCCACAAGCATCTGATAAAGGTTTTCTTCTCGTCCAAGCTGCTAGCGGTCCACTTGTAAACCTTCTCGAACTGCAGATCGAAATCCAGGCTGGCCTAGGTGGCAACAGTTAATTACTGCATCAATTAGGCACCGCTGGCCACGCCGCATACGCACAGCACAGCTCCGCGGCGCATTTTAACGGCAGGCGCTGAATGCTCTGAAAATGCCTTGAGCACTGGGAGGGAAAACCCCTCCCGGTTGAAGGAGGGATGGGGGCACACCTCCGGGCTGCGGTTCCAAGCTTTGGGGTTTGCAGTGGCCCTGGGAAGCCGCTTTGTGAATGGGGCCCGGCGCCAGGCTTAGAGGTTAGAGGAGATCCTGGCAGCGTCGAGACCACCGAGCAAAAAGCCCGGCTGGCATAGGCTGGGGAGGGGACCCCCAGGGAGACCATTGCCATGGGCCACGCCATGCCGAGGACTAGGCTGGTTTTGGTGGAGCTGCATGGCTCTGGTCAGACTCAGATCTAAGGAAGGGCTAAAACTGCGCCCAGCATCCCCGCGCCAGCTGATGCGACGGACACCGGCTGTGCCGTGCCCAGGGTAGCGGGTGTCAGGAGTTTGATCTGAAGTCTTTCAATCAACGAATTCCTTGACAAGCGCTGTATTTCCAAGCTGACAGCAGGCGGTTCCTCTAGCTAACGGCAAATGCGTCCGTGTTGTTTCGTTCCCACAGATACAGACACCTTTCCCTGGACTTCTGCTGCTATCCCAGAGCAACCGGGTAGGATTTGAGAGAGATGCTCATGGCCCATGGCAAATAATCCTAGGCGTGATAAAAGCACTGAAAATAAAAGGATGCACAGCGATTCTGGCCCTAGAAATGGACACCGGGACACCCACAGTGGGTAAGGGTAATCCACCAGCCCCAGTGTCCCAATCCAGCACGCTGATTTCTTTTGGGATTATATAAACCCCTCCTTTCACTGCAGGTTTGGGGAGACGAAGGCTGATGAATTCTGACAGTGGCCAGCGGCAGATGCTTGGGAGAAAAAGCATTCAAAGGGCAAGCCCAGGGTGATATTGCCTGCCAGACTGGCTGCCAGCCTCCGGCAGCCCGTGGTCCAGCAGCTCGCTGAGCCAGAGGTTGGATCCCCAGCATCGGGTTTAACAGCCCTTGAAGGACCGACTGTCCCTGATTCCCTCTAAAGTTTTTTTTTTAACTTATTCATAGTGTTGGCATCTACAGCGTCCCGTGGCAATAAGCGCTGCAGCGTAATGATGTGCTGAAGGAGAAAGCTCAAAATAACCGGAGTTAAGCATTTGGGGTGAGCCCAGCACCCCTCCCACTGCAGATACCCCCTCTGTAATCCTCGTCCAACCTGAAATCTCCAACCTCTCGCCACTCAAGAATTGGGAACACCCCGAGAAAACCCAGAAACAGGCTCCCACAAGCCCAGTCCTGAAATCCCCCCAGCAGCACGCACGCTGCGCCTGGCATCTCCCAACAGCCCCGTGTCCTGGCAGGGGAAGGTCGCTGGAGATAACAGGAGTGTGGACTGGGAATAAAGCAGCCTTGGCATTTCCCAGTGTTGTTTTCATCCATCTCAGCGTCAATATCTCTGCATCTACGCCCAGGGGATGTCACCTCATGGAGGGGGAACTCCAGTCGTGGGAGACTTAGTATTTATAGAATCATAGAATCATCTAGGTTGGAAAAGACCTTTAAGATCATCAAGTCGAACCGTTAATGTAACCCTGCCATCTAAGTGGTGTATAGGTGGAGAAGATAAGGGAGGCTGCGGAGCTAGGAGCATCCCACGGGAAGAAACTCCTTCCTGCACCACCTCATTAGCTCTGTGGCACAGCCTGACCTCACCTTCTGGAGAACTTCGAAGCCGCGCTTATAATTATTGATACGAGTCCTCCTAACAGAGGCGGCGTTGGCCGGCGTGCTGCAGTCCGACGGCGCTCCAGGGCTTGCTCTCTGAACACCTTGAGCAATACATCACGCCCCCGCCTTGCTCGGCAGGCTCGGTAGCAGCCCCTGCGGCGGCGTGGAGCAGGTCTGGGGGAGGAATTTACTGTGCGCCTGGTTTACAGCGTGCCGTACGAGGAGCTATTGAAGCAGGGAGGCATCCGTTAATCGCTTCATAAACATGAATACCGTTTCGGTCAAGGGGAGCCATGGCTTTCAGCGCCTCTGGACTTGCAGTGTCAGGACTTTGCTGGCGCCAGGGGACAGAGGGCTTCCCAGCACACGGGGGCAGACCTGATGGCCAAACCCTCACTGTGTGCTCCGAATATCAACCCACGAGCCAGGGGGTTGGCTGTAGGTGATTCTATCTGCTAAGCAACAGAGGAGAGCTCTTGCTTTGCTTTCCGTGGCCCTGCCAAGTGATGCAACAGGGAGGGACTGCGCTGGCTGGAGCACCGGGCTGCACTGGGGGGCTCGCCTCTGTGGTGGGACCCTGAGAGATGCCACCACGTCCTGGCTGCAGCCCTACTGCTTCAGCCTCTCCTCTGTGCAGCAGCTTCAGTGGGCAGATCCCATTTTAGGAATGATATGGACAATTCCGGCTGCCTGCATTCAAGGAAGGTCAGTTCAGCCTGGAAGAGGGCTCCAGACATGATAAAGGGAAGAAGAGAGAAGTCCACACAGAAGAGGAGGCTCCAGGGTCGGTCTACTTAGCCTGCCAGAGGGAAGGTTAATAGGGGAGGTGACTGCAACCTAAAAATACATCTGCAAAGGAGAAGAGCTGTCCAACCTAAAGGACAGCCATGGCACAAGGCAAACGGGGGTGACGTGGGAAGGAATACCGGCTCGGAGTCGTAAGAAGGCTGTAGGTGTTGGGACAACCAAGTTCGCTCTTTGCCTCCCAGTAGGAGGGGGTTCAAAAATCCACCGATTCTTTAAGCGAGAGTGTGATCGGCTTTCCTCACTGAGATGGCAAGTGAGGGGGAGAGGATTGAAAATCCCGGCGCTATTGTGTAATCCCAACTCCTCAGGAGCCAAAGCAGTTTAGAAGACTTGGTGGAGCCAGGGGGAAATGAAAGGCAATGTGGCACCAGTCCGGTGCTGCCCATGGGATCAAGATGTCCTGCAAACCTGCAAAGGTGATTTTCCTTTCCGCCATGCTGTGCACTTTACTTCTCCTGGATGTAGAACTGGAAAGCTGTTCTTTTTCTCATTTATTTCTATGCTTGTGAAAACCCAGGAATCTTGCCAAAGCCCCTGGAACATTCACATTAATAAAAAACCTAATTATATCAACTTCAACGACACTCCGCCAGCCCCAGCGGCAGAAAGGGAATATCTCGTCCGTGCTTTCTTTCCCAAAAACCTTAATGTCACCTGAAAAGCGCAGACTCACGCTGGCTCCAGCTCTCTGTAATCCTTCTTTCGGTAAATACCTCCATTTAATCTTTAAATACCCGATGCAAATGTCTGTCAAGAAGCTTTGTCAACACGGATCGACAGATGGGCCCGACAGCGCGTTCTGCAAATGCTGGAGAGCTGACAAGGGCGGCGCTTTGCAGCCCGGCTCCCCAGCCTCCGGGGGCTGCTGCGAAGAGCCTTGGGAGGTCCTCTGCTGCGGGGCAAGCACTTTCCCCAGGGATTTTGACGGAACCTGTGTCCACGCAGCAGTCACCCGCTCACTGCTCACCCGGGTCGGGAATTTGGCCAGCCTGGCATTCCCTAACTTAGAACGGGATGACTTGGGGATGGGGGGGCGGGCAATCACTGCAGCCTCAGCATCCTTGGGAACAGGCAGATGAGATGGAAAGGATGAGGGAAAGGCAAAGTCCGAAAGCACTGATGTACAGTGGAGGAACCAGCCAGGGAGAGACCTCAGGTCACCATACTCTAGGAAACAGCTCTGAGCGAAGGCAGAGGGCTTTTAACTTCTTTTGATGGTGGTTCTTTCCCCAAAATTAGCATCATTCAGGCTGGTTCAGTCCTATATTAGGAACCACACACCTCCCCACACATTCCCTCACTGCTCTTCCCACCATCTAAACATACAGACTGAGCTCCAGAGGACCCGAATCCCCCTATGGATCCTGGCTTGTGCCTCTCTAGCTTCATGTTCACATTTCTCCCCCATGATCAGTCCTGTCCTTTGCCACAGAAGGGAAATCAATCCTACCTGATTGAGGGTCTTGCCATCCACCAGCTTCAGCTCTGCTAAAGGCCACCTGTAGGCTACCTTGTACTGCTCTCCTCGGTCGACCTTGACCTTCACCAGAAACGGCTGCATTGGCCTAAAGGTGTCCACTGAGGATGAGGGACAGGAAAAACAAAACAAAGCAACCCACAATACGATAGTTAGCCCAGTTCAGCATGAGCAGGCAGGTAGAGCTGGACACACAGACACTGGTTTTGCATGCTGGCTGTGTGGAGAGACACTACAGGGTTTCTACTGACTTTCTTCATTGAGTATTTACATACGGGGATTGATCTCTGGGGTCTAATCCAGGGTACTTTGAAGCCTATGGAGGGATTCCAAGTAACTTCAAGGAGATTTAAACCAGGCCATTGGGCCCTACAGAAGGCGTAAGCAATATTTCAGCAAGACCCAAATGTGACGGGAACGGGGCATCCTAGGGCAGTAAGGTTTAGGATAGTTACCCACCATCTTGCTGGCCCTGCAACAGGGTCCAGAAGCACTGCACTGTTTGACTGAGACCCACACTAACACATCCCACCAAAAATCAGTTCTAGTGCCAATTAGCTTGCAGTCACGCCTGGGTTTGTCTGGGAGGCGCTCACTGCACATCGTTCTGGCTCTTACAATATAGGTCTCCCATACAAGCTAGGGATCTCCAGAAAGCTTTCATGGACAGTTCCAGGGGTAAACTCCTGTATTTTAGGTGCTACTTATGGGGTGGCTACATCATCCCTTGGAGGTATTCCTCCTGCCCTCCATTGACTACAGAGGGAGTTGAAGCACATCGTTTAGGTCAAATGCTATGGCTAAGGCAGTCAGAAATTAATCCTGTAGTAGGTGACTCCGCTGTCTATGAGCTGATCGACAGGGAAGTTTGTGAAAAAAAAACCCTATGCTAACAACTTCTCAGGAGTGATGGAGCAACTAGAAAACCATAGACCAAAGCAGAGGGAAAATTTCCCAAAGCACTCGCGCCCTTGGATCCTAATCAGGTAGCTGCGTGCTCCCGAAACGTCTGGGTCCTGTTAAAACTTTCGCCAAAACTACGGAGGGACGGAGCGAGGCTGCAACGCTGTGTCACGTTAGAATGGTTTGCTGCTGACCTCTAATGACGGGTTTGATGCAAGTGGTCTAAAAATTAATCTTACATCGGTGGAGGGAGGACTCCTGCAGACCCCAGGGCCCTCTGGCCAGCCAAGGATCCAACATTCCAGACCAAACTCCCTGACCAGAGCTGCAAGAAACCTCCCTGGGTTTGCAACCCAACCCCCCGGGACTCTCACCCACAATGCAGAGGATGGACATCTTCTTCTTCTTCCCTGTCTTCCAGACACGAATGCTTTCCAGCAGCCTCTTTTTCTGCGGGTTGAACACATCTTTTTCGAGCGAGCTCCAAAGAGAAGCCATGCTGATGCCTGAGCACAACGGCGCGTGCCTCCGGCTGACGCTGGCGGCCGCCTCCTGTGAAACACAAACAGGCTGGAGGGATGATCCACACGCAAGCTCCTGGCACACCGGTGAAATGCATCACCCCCCGCTGATTTCATCTCTGCTGCCTTGCAGGCAGCGCGAGTGTTAAATAATTGTGGAGTTCAGGCCAGAAGGGCCTTTTGTTATGAGTTGGTCTGAATTCCTGCCCGGTGCAAGCAGCACATGCCAATGCATCCAGCCCAGTAAGGCCACAATAAAACTTTCCTAATTTCTTAAAAAAAAACCCATCCTTTTTCATTCGAACTCAGCACAGTGGCTTGAGCAGCAGGACCATGTCCACGGGCATGGTGGCAAAAGAGGTTGGCAGCTACATGGCAACCAGGCAAAAGAGGTTGGCAGCTACAAGCAATCGATTGCCTGGTTATTTTTGTTGGCCCACACTGTTTCAGCATTTACAGCTCAAGAGATCCTTCTCCGGGGTCACCCAACGCGATGCTCACGTTGAGCTGGCACGTCCTGGGACCAGCATGGAACGGACGCGTGCGACCGTGCAAGTCAGCGCTGCAAAACAAAAAGGGGTTCAACTCCACTTTGGGAGCTCAGTTCTGGGGCATCCTTGCCCCTCGGAGACCTCCGGGGCTTTGCCTTGGCAGAAAGGCACGGCAATCCTCCGAGGGCAATCAACTTGCCAGTCCAGCTGCCTTGCCAGCCTCGTGCCACGCTGAGCAGCCCAAGTACACAGAGACACAACTCGATGCTGGAGCCTTGCGGGAGTGAAAGCGGAGCCCTGGCTGCAGAGGGGGAGCAGAGGGGCTCACAGGGCTGCAGGGTGGGCACTGGGGGGAAGGCAGGTGGCTTGCTGGCCCTCCCACCCCTCTGCCACCTCCCTGGCCACAGCCTGCCACCACAGCCTGCACCCACCTTGCTGTGCCCCTCTGCTCCCCAAATCTCCACTCCATCGCCCTGGGCTGTGCTCCGCTCGGCAGCTCTCGCCACTGTGGACCTCCAGCTGCTCTTCCCTCCTCGGCAGAGAGCTCTGGGATTCCCCACTCCCTCCCCGCTCCCCTAAATGACCTGGTTTTGGAGAAATAGCAGGGGGAGGCAGGGGGGGCCCTCGGGCCACCACTGCTTCTCCCTCCCCTTCCATCCCCAGTTGCCCTCCCACGGGTTCCCCTCTGGTTTCCTGCCGCCATGCAGACCAGGGCAGATGCTTCCCCAAAACGACCGGCTTGCCTTCCCGAGCCCCCTGACTCAGTTCCTGGGGCCCGGACCCCCCCAGCAGCAGAGGGAAGGTACCTGTGCAGAGCACGAAAGCTCTCCCAGCTTTCACACGCTTGCTGACTCCTTAGCAAATCGATATTGACAGCCAGCAGCTCCTGAACTCCCAAGGAGACCCCCGCTCTCCCGCTCTTTGGGGCTTCTCTGACTCCAAGCTAATCAGCAAACTAACCCGAAAGGAGAAGGGGGTGACAGAGGGAATGGGAAGCCCAGGCACGGTCTCTGTTACTGGGTGAGCCCCTCCTGCAGGCTGCCACGTTCCTCTTCCCTGGCTCTGTGCTGCGAGCAAGCGCCTCGTGGAAACGTGCACGCTCCCACGTCTGAGCTCGCCAGCCACCTGAACACGTGCAAATTTATTGGTTTCATAGTCTACAAGACAAACAACCCCAACTTCTTCTCCCCTTCATTTTGCTTACGTAGCTGAACGTGCTTCTCCGCAGCCCACGAATGGCTACGCTGTGCATGACTAAAAGCTGTCGAAGGGAATCGCAGCGTCCAGCTTTAAACCCTCGCAGCAGCATCTCACGTCGTTGTGCAAGCGCGACATGGCCACCACTCTACAGGCAAGGGAGGTGCGGTGGGAGAGCAACCTCACCAGGAGGATCATCCAAGGCCAGGTTGGACGGGGCTGTGAGCAGCCTGGTCTGGTTAAAGGTGTCCCTGCTCCCTGCAGCGGGGTTGGGCTGGGTGACCTCTAGGGGTCCCTTCCAACCCAAAACATTCTGTGATTCTGTGATGCTATGATCTCTCCTAGCTGCCTCCTTAAAAGCGATGCTCAAATCACTGCGGGGGCTTGGGCACCGGGGCCACAGGAGAGCCCAGCCTGCGGCGAGCACGGGCAACAGCCTCTTGAGAGCTCAGGCAAGCTCAGCTTAAGTGCAAGGCTGGAAGGGGATGACTTGATTCACCCTGAGGTACTGAGATGCACTGATTCAGGCCGGCCCGGTGCAAGAAGGAAAGGATTTGTTTAAATCATCTTAGCAGAAGCGGCGTTTTTAGCAAGAACACATTGCTTGTTCACAAACTGCGCTATTTATTTATTTATTTATTTATTAATCCAGAGTATTCTTAATGCGAAGCTCTCCCGCAGCCTCCTCGCCAGACCTGACCCTCATGGGGATGCGTTCCCACTAAACCCCGTGCTACAAGGGGAGATGGCAGCTCCTGTCCTGCACGTAGCAGTTGCAGCATGGCCCTTGAGCTGGGGGATGAGGCAACACGCACAGTGGCTACAACCAAAAGGTTGCATTGAATGCAAATATTTTAGTTAGGATTAGGGATAAATCACCATACAGACGGTAGGAAAATAATAATATTTAGAACAGGCACTTTGAATGTTTCCTAAGCAAATCTCGTTGTTATTGGAATTTACCGGGTGCTCTGCAATGAGCTGCAACAAATGAGCCCTCCCCCAGCGCCCTCCTGGGTGCGATGGGGCTTTCAGCTCAGCCACAGAGTTAACGAGCTTGAGGACACATCCGCAATGATTTTGACTTTTTCTACCATGGCCATGACAAAAAAAAAGAAAAGAAATTGGCTGCTAAAATGCTTCTGTCGCCACAGCATCTCTTTGCCTGCAGCCCCTCACCGGGTTATCTCACATTTCCCATCCCTCATCAGCTTTCCAGGCATTGACCTCTGGAGGCAGGCGGGATGGCAGCCCCGACACCCGACTGCCTGCCTATACCCGCGATGGCTTTCCAACTCCCTCACGCGTTCGTAGCAACACCTGAGGAACAGCTACGGGGCAATGATTGAAAGCCAAAGTTATAGAGGGGCTCGCTGCCACCTGAGAAGTTAATGCAGAAAATACAATACTTTTCATAAAGTCATAGAATCACAGAATCATAGAATGTTTTGGGTGGGAAGGGACCCCTAGAGGTCACCCAGCCCAACCCCCCGGCAGGAGCAGGGACACCGCTAACC